CCCCAAAACCCCAAAACCCCAAAACCCCAATGGAAAGTATTTTTAAAAAAATTGAGTGTTGAAATATATTGAAATTTAAAAAAGTAATGGTAAAGTGGAAAACTAGTAACATTAATGAGATTTCAATTATGATATCAAGTATAATATTTTAATAATATCATTGCTTAGAATATACCGATTTATTAATGGTAATTTTTTCTGAATTTACTCGTGACCATTATATAATTAATATCCCATTGCAACCAGTTAATAATCTGTGCTTTAGTCTTCATTTTCGGGCCTTGCAGGCTTACAATTTAGGAACAACATCCTACTTCGTCGACTTGATATAGAAAAAGGGAAGGCGAATGTATTGAGTGAGAGAAAAAGTTCAGCAAATAGAAAAATAAATTAAAATGCATAAAAGAATGAATTTTTGAAGTATGCTATTTTAGATTGAATTTATATAGAAAACCAAGAAAATCTGTGCCTAATCCCTAGTCCAGAGCAAGAGACAGAATCATCATTGATTTAGACCCTCAGCGCAGATAGTCCGACTGTCATATTGATATGGCTTAGACCGCTAGAGCAATTTTACAAAGTCGAGAATCTCATTAAATATAAAAGCATTCTATCGTTCCCATTTACTCCTCTAAAAATTCAGTAAAAAAATATTTTATTTTTGAAATCTTCACAGTAGCATGCTGAATATATAAGTGCAGATAATTATAAAAAATTACAAAATGGGATTGATGTAGAAGAAGATTAAAATGGACTAGAAAAATTATTTAGAATGGATGAACTTCTTAAGGCGCTAAAAGACAGAAATGAATACTCATAGCCTGCAATAGTAATAGAGAAATTCACGACAGGAAAAGATAGCAATTCTGATTTAGACGACACCAGTAAACCAAACTCTATTAACATAAGCTCATAAGACTGCTTGATAATGAATACATTTAATGATAATACAAAGTCGTCTCCTTTGCTCAATCTAAAAGCACTCAATAATCATTTGGATTCTGATCAAAATTATTAGTCAAGATTACATAGGTAAATATAAAGTTTGATTCTAATTTTCACTAAATATAGCTCAGTCAAAGAACGAATTGAATCAACTCCTTTTAAGAAATCCTCCTTTTATAATAATAAAAATGAATTACTTCCATAAATGCCAATAAATTAACGATCAAGATTATAAAGCCCTAAAACTCACCGACAGATTGAGTAAATTAGACCAAGCCCATTAGTCCTCGAGAAAATCAGAGGGTAATTAGACAAGAGACTACCTAAAATATCAACACCAACTATCTCCCCATTTACTTTAGAGTTCAGTAAGAAATAGAAGTGGAAGAAAATTTCAAGAATGATATAGCTTGCTTAAGATGACGAAGCCATTAAGAATAATCAGGTCTATCTAGAATCTTCTTAAATAAATTCGGCCAGCGGAACGAAAAAATTCCTCTAGAGAATCGAAGATGAAATCGGATTTTCAAAATAGTAATTCGCAACTAAACCTTCATTCATGAAACAGAATTTCAAACCAGAAACACATAAAAAATATAGAGAAGCAGGAGGTGTAGCCATGACCAATAGACAAGCTGAAGTACTGTAAAGTTTCCATGATTATGAATATGCCTTAGTGTGATTCTATGAATTGAAATTTCAATATTGAAATCCTAAGTAAATTTATAATCAATAATAAGCAACTCTATTTATTTTAATTATTTTATTTCAACATAATTTATAAGTTTAATTTCCCATGGGGTTTTGGGGTTTTGGGGTTTTGGGG